GCGACACAAACCGGCACGTTCCCAAACGGCCAACAAAATCATGTTCAGAACGCGCAAACTCAGACACCTGCTCAGCAACCCCAACAGCAGCAAGGGCAGCAGCACATCAACGCACCTCCAGGCGTTCCTCCACCAGCGTACTCGTCCCAACATCCCACCCCCGCTCAGCAGACACCATACGTTGCTAACGGGGCCGTCGCAGGTGATGAGACACGTCGTGCGTCTGCAGGAATCAGCTCACGCGATTTGCGCAGTGCCGCAAACGCCCGCTCAGCAAGTCCTCATGTCACCTGCGGACCGCTGGGGCCTCCTGGGGTTGTTGGCGCTCATCAAGAATGCGGATCCAGATCAAAGTCTGCTCACAATAGGTACGGACTTGGGGACGATGGGATTGGATATGCAGAACCCTGGGTACGTACAGTCGCTCTCTGCTTGGGTCATGCTGATCTAACGGGCGATTGCCCAGAAGCCTCTACTCGACATTCATCACACCATGGGCGGACTCCTCAGCTGCACATACAGTAGAACCCGACTTCCACCTTCCCGCGTGTTATAACGTACAGCCACCTCCGCCTGGTCCCAACAAGGTCGCGGTGTTCAGTGACGAAACGCTCTTCTTTATGTTCTATGCATCTCCCCGGGACGCGCTCCAAGAGATTGCCGCGCAGGAACTGTACGTGTGCTTGGTTCCTTCCTTTAGGGCTTGCGTCCAACATGGGCCTGCGACAGGTACAACCGGAATTGGCGATATCACAAAGAGCTTCGCCTCTGGATCACGAAGGAGAGTGGCACGCAGCCATCACAGAAGGTGCCTGGAGGCGAGCAGGGTACGTACTCGTACTGGGACCCTGAGATGTGGGAAAAGTCTCGCAAGGAGATGACCGTACTCTACGCCGACCTCGAGGAGAAGAACCAGCCCCTGTTCGCAGCCGGCCAGACGCTGCAGATGAACGCGCCCCCGCAGCCGCACACCCCCGCGCAACCCACGCGCGTGAGCGCCGCGTTCCAGGGCATCGCTATGGGCGCGATGTAAAGAAATGCGGCTCGCCGCGCATAGTTGTGTTGTCAACTTGGACAGAAACGCTTCGTCGCCGACATTCGCTTGTTCTGTTCTACGCTTCCTATTGGCCTCCTGACTGTTACCAGTTGGTGCTCCCCTTCCCTTCTCCAACTCATCGAGCTATTATACGCTTGTATCTGTAAGCCATACTGTTCGAATCATATCCACGCCCTCTATCGGCTGTCACATGTCAAGTGTCATACAGCGTTGGTTAACGCTCATCATACACTCACATTGCGTTCAATGCCTTGCCCGATCCATGAGTTCAAGAGGCGCGCCGCCGTTCGGGGTCAATGAATGTCAAGGTACGCATTGTTTGTCACCCTATATGCTTATATCTTAAGCCTTGTGTTCTAAGTGCGGCAATACGCGCAGAATGGGAGAGCGTTTGTGCAATATGTGATGGCGATCGATCGTGAAAGGTCGTTAGACAAATTATTACGATGTCAACGTTCGTCTCCGACGTTCATGAGACTCGTGCGGCGCGCCGACCCGGGCTAATCCAGCGAAGTGGCCACGCCCTGGCAATCACATCCACGATTTTTCAATCAGATCGGGAACTCCAGCGAAAGCTTCGTCATGAAGTTCATCGGGTCTACCCGGTAGTCATCGCTGGTGACGGTGACCAGCGGCGCGTCGTCGAGGAACGTGAGGAGCTGCGGGGAGGATATTGAATAACCTGGCCAGGACGGGACCGTATCCCCGTTCGGGTCAAGGTGGTTGACGAAGTTGATGAGGTAGTCGGTGAGTTCGCCACCGCCGTAAACGTTGAGAATGTCCGTCGCGTGAGCCTGCCAACGTGCGTGCAGATCAGCTTGACAGGATTCGAAACGGTACTCGCCGGGACATACCGAGCCGAGGGCAGGCAGACCTTTGAGTCGCTTGCTCACTATGCGCGGGGAACTTGAGTGCCCACACAAGCACGTCATGGGCCGAGAGACTTACGGAAGGACCACGTCGGTTGCTTTGCGGACCTGTTCTGCAGGAAGAACCTGCGCGGGGCCTGGAAGACGAGGTCGCCTTGCATGGCGGCAATGCGCTTGTACTCCGGGGTGAGCGCGTTCAAGACCCCGGTGTCAAACGGCGAGCCTTGTGTGCTGTCCGCAGGGTAGAGTGTCAGCAGCTGGTCGAGATCCTCATCCGTCGCATTCGGCATGTAGTTGCTCATGATGTAGGTGCGCAGCTCCGACTTGGTGCTGTCGATGTTGACGTGAGCATGGCAACGCTCTACCGAAGACGTGGCAAGACGTACGTGATGTTTAGCAGGGAGATTGTGAACAACGTCCCTTCATCATCGCAGTCCTAAGACAGACATTGTATACAAAAATTTACATCAAGCCACAGGCGGCACTCACGCCAGTGACGAAAGGTACGTTTGCGACGCTGCCCTTCTGCACCAAGTTTTGCGGGGTGTCTGTCAAGAATTTGTCATCGACGCGAGGCAACCACGTCAATCGTAACGACTGCATATGCATGAGCATGGTCTCGAAACGCCGCAGAATACTCAACAAGATACCTGGGGAGAGAATATACCTGGGGATGCGTCCACCGCCTTCTTCAGCGTATCGAAAGGTACCTCTCTCAAGCACTGCAGTGTCTCAGCCGCCCCAGAGCAACCCGTTTCTGCCACGAGCGTGTCATAATCCCCCCGGCCGTGCGTGATGTCGCCAACTGGGATGGGGGAGCCCGACTGCATGAACGCGCCGCGGAAGAGGCCGTCAGGATTACCGCCGTTGGTGAGCATCTGCAAAGCCACGGAGATCGCGCCGGCGCTCTCGCCCCATCTGGAAGGTCATGATCAGCGTGCAGGGTCGAGCGACCTGGTGAAGAACGCACATGGTGACCTTCGTCGGGTCCCCGCCAAATGCGGAAATGTACTTCTGTATCCATTGAAGCGCCAGACGTTCTAGTGTCAAATAAGCTATGTCAATCTCGATTCGTTCGGAGTCAGATCACGCTTCGATTACTTACGATCTTGCAGACCTAGGTTGCCTACTCCAGCGCCCTTGACCTCTTGACTGGCCAGGAAACCGTACGCTCAGATGCTGTTAGGACCAAACGCTTTCTGTAGAAGTAGAATCTGCATACCTGAGACGCTATACTTGCATGCCTCAGGATTGAGGTACCTATGTGCCATAGTGTAGATGCCACGCACCGATAGTTCATGCTCACGTAGATTATCGGCTCTCCGATCTCGACGGACCGGCCGACGATGACGCTGCCGTCGTATCTGATAATTTCCAGGTCAGTATGGAGCCCACACCCATTTCTGCCTGTTCGTCTTACTGGCTCGGGCTTCCAAGCTCGAAACCGCCTGTGCAGCATATCAGTCTGGACGGGAGACTCGCGAATCAGTTTGAAGTGCACACCGCCAAAGATCCACTATGACATTTAAAAAGACTAGGTGAGCGTTTTGTGCAACCGCGAGGACAACTCGAGCTTAACGTACTGCGACAACGGGCAGATTTGCATTGGGCCCGGTGGCTGCAGGAATTATGACATTGATAGAGAGACCTGTAGTTCCAGTCAGGCAGGCGGCATGGGCAATTTTTCAATTGTAAGGCTTACAATCCTCATCTGAAGGGAAGATGACCTGGTATATTGAATTTACAATGAAATCCACAGTGTCCGAAGCCAACCCGGATGGCAAATCAAAGTTGATTGCTTGCTGAGGGCAGGACGGCCCAAAGGCCGTGACCGTATTAGTGCCTGTATATGGATCGACGGCGACGGGCAAGTTGAAGCGCAGGTTCCGAACCCTGAGAGCTGCCACTCAGACAAAGAAGAGGGCAACGTAAGACTGCGGACGTACGGCGGCTTTGCGAACGGGATACCCAAGAATCTGTTCGTGGTACCATCGGTAGAACCGATGAACGTACCTTGGTCTAGCTGGACTGTGGGTGCGCCACGCGGCGCCAAGGGCGCAGCGAGAATCGTGCTCACCAGAGTGAGGAGAAGGCAGAGTGAACGGACGAACATCCTACAAGGAACCAGCTGCGTGAATTTCAATGAGGTCTATTCGTTTCGAGAACATTTATACCAGCTGGTGCAAGAGTGATCCAGCAGGAAGCCTTGCAGGCATGGTACAATGTCAGCGGCGCTACGCAAAAGGATGAAATCTGACATCACTTTTTCCGCTCAAGCCGCACCCGCTTCCGAACCGTAGAGCGCATGAGAAGAGCAAGGAATCACGGGCCTAAGGACAACGGCGAAACGATCACACGGACGGGAACAGCATGCGACGGAGATGAATGTACGATCACATTGTTCGGCTTTGGCGAGCTGAGATAGACTGAATTGAGACGACTGCGGGGCTCGGTAGTTGTCATCCTCGGAGGTGCATTCGCACCCGGCAAAATATAGCGCTGACTTGAGAATGCTGGACGCCAATAACAAAGAAGATGCATGCAGAGGGTGCTGCACGGCTTCGGCATCATGCTCCCAGGTTGAAGCATCCAGAATTGTACCTGATGATGCCGCGAAGAGAAGAGCGGCAGAGTAAAGAGCGGCGTGTTCTGCGACGCTGCTAATCCTGGAAAAGTAGCTCAGGTCCATGCAAATCACTGTTTGGCGAATCACGGTAGGGCGTACCTCGCTGCACTGCTTCCGCGAAAATCGTCATGGGATCTCCCATGGCACACGAGCGAAAGCGTCATCCGGTTGACATACCCCGGCGGCCTAGACTGCGGCAGCATGCTTTGTCGACCCAGCGCAATCTCCCACAAGGTCGCATTGCCACACAAAGATTTCTATTACATCAAATCAGTGGCGAGCATAATGTGCGATGTCACCGCCCGGTGCTACGATCGTTGTAGCCATTTAGTATCAGCCGCATTTGCGGAAACCGAAGCCTGAACGAGTTAGCCTCGAGAGCCTTAAAACCAGCCCACCCTCTCAGATCAAACTCTGATAGGTTACCTGAGTGTGCAATCTACAGCAAGGCGAGATGGCCGAGCGGTCTAAGGCGCCAGAATCAGGTGTTGAGCGCAACAGTGCTCTACTTCATCTGGTCCGAAAGGGCGTGGGTTCGAATCCCACTCTCGTCAAGTTTTGCTTGTTGGCGGTCCGAACTTGTAGTGGTTTCGCGCTGGGCGTATCATAACCGACGTGGTCAGCGGTCAGCAGATCAAAGCGTCTCACTCATTGGGTAAAGAGACGCGATGCCTTCAGAGGGTGCCAACATTGTTTGTCTGCCTGCGAGCGTCAGGGCAACCGGTACCAAGACTAATCCCGGCACAATTCGGCCAAGAGTGACTCATGAGAAGGGTTCAGTTTTGTTCTAGTCCACGAAGAGGAGATCACGAGGATCTGGACATCTCTTCTGGCAGGAAGCTCTCCCAGCGCACCTCCTGGCCCGCCAACCTTCGGCTCCTTTTGGTCCATATGAACGTGGATGTGATCGAATCAGCCCGGGAGTCGGAAGAGCGTAACACCGGAGCAGCTGAGGATGGTCTACAGCGAGACTAGAGATCAGCTTCGGTAATTCGGCATGGGACAGCAGTCACTTCAAGATAATCGTGCCTCCACGACAGAGTTCAGGCTGGACCAGATTATACTGACTGGGCAGCACGCTTGGTATTGCTTGGTTACAGAGGTTCTTGTTGTTTACCATGACATTCTGAGTTCATTGGTACTGAGATGAAAGATTGAGTATGTCAATGCTTCCCAGTGCAGATGCGCGTTGCGATTCTGCGCCTGTGACAGACCACTCCATTATACGTACGATGATATGCTACCACGAATGCACTGCAGCCTCGAGAATCGGCAGGGAAATGGAACCATCGTGCGACGTGTACTAGGCAGGCCGTTAGACGCGCTATGTCACACAGTGACAGCACCCGTTTGACTGCCGTGGAACAGTGGACCCTGACGGAAATGCAGTCCACCACACATGGCCACAGACTGCAGGACAGGATAATCCTCGCAGTCGCGAGATGGTCTAGAAGGTATCATACACGCCAACACAAAGGAGATATTTGATATTCCTCGATGGCGCCACCTTGCCTCCATCAAGAGCCTTACGATGAAGGCGGTTCGAGTCAACGTCCCCTGTCAGGTTGTGTTGGTGTGGAGCCTTTGTTTATACTTGTTAGATTCAGAGGCTATTGCCCTCTAAGAATGTTCCCAATTGGGATAGTGAATCTGCTTTGACGCCATTGCCGTTCAGCTTGGTGCCGCCTCTTCCGGACTCATTCGCCCTGTGCTGTTCAGGCGCACTTGCGTCAAAGCTTTAGAGGTCGGTAGGCACACATGGACTTTCCAGGTGAGTCACGTGAAGGCGTTAATATCCCCTGGCTTGAGCTGGATGCGGCCGTCTCTTCCTTCTTCCAGAACGCTCTCCTGTAGCTCTTCATATCCTCCTTCTCACGTCGCCTATTGATCCTCCTCGATGTTGAAAGTGGACGCTCTAACATTTCTTCTGCTATAAAGTAGATCCCTGACTCGCAGAGCCCCAGACAGCTACCACGATCGAGTGGCACAGGAGATTGCTTGGTAGCCACTCAGCCACAACGTCGACGCACCTAGATATGTCTTGGCCGTATATCAGAGACAATCTGAACTTTTACAGGATTCATCTTCTGGCCTTGCAAGTCAAGTCGATTGCATATATGCTCTTTATCATTTTGACCCAGCTCATAGCATCTTCATCCCTCTGTTCGGTGCCACAATCCTATGGGCAAGCAACGGAGAGTTCCCTGTCAGATTCATCGATTCCCTATACGTATCCATTAGCGCCGCGACGGGTACCGGATTGGTCACTTTGGACCTCAGTTCTTTGACCATCTGGCAGCAGGTGATCCTGGTCATCCTAGAGCTCATTGGGAATCAAGTAAGCGGAGCTTCAACGGTGCCGGGTCTCCAAGACGACGCTGACGTACGGTAGACATTCGTATGCTGGGTGGTTGTTCTCGTGAGAAGGTCAGTTTGGCGCGTGATAACGAGGCTGATCCCCTGTTCACGCTGCCCCGGCAGATGGTACTTCCTCCGTAACCTGAAGCACATCGTTGCCGCCGAGTTGGAGAGGAATCACACTACTCCTGACGCAGAGAATGATTCCCCCTCTCTCCGTCATATCCGAGAGACGCTTGCCCGTCTGAAGGAACAAAAGCAAATTCGCGAGACCCACCCTTCTCATAGCCCACACGCTGGAACTTCCAGGAGATCAAGCCAGAACAGGGACGCCAAACCTGGCCTGCGCGTTGACATGATACGAAGACTGGATATCGCTCCGCATCTCATTGACCCAATGGGTTCGCAAGCGCATAGGCTGACATCGGATAGGCCAAACGAATCGACTGGCACTGATGTGCTAAGCAGGACGGCGAGCCGTAGATCGCTTCGATCCTACGCAGCACCTGCGAATCCTTCTGCCCCTGTGGAACGAGAAGACGACTTTGGTGGCTTTCCCGGCGTGGAGGATGTCTTAGTGCGCGTAACGCGCAAGTTCGCACCCAAGCTCCAGCGCCGCCTCAGGCGGACGTTGACCGTCCCGAGGACGGAGACCCTCATTCCTCGGGCAACAGGGGATACGGTACCCCCGATTGACGGCCCTGTCAGGCGCGTTCCGTATCTGAGCTTCAGCGCCACCGTCAAGCGGAATTCGACCTTCCATGGGTTGACCGCGGAGAATATTGAGGAGCTTGGCGGAGTTGAATATCGGGCTCTTTGTTCTCTGACCTGGATCATCCCTCTGGTACGTGTATTCTCGCAGTCGCGGTAGTCTCATGACGCTGACCTTTTTAACAGTATTACATAGGGCTCCTCTGCATCTCTTTCGTTGTCACGGCTCCGTATATGTCCTTACCGAGATGGCGGGTGAACTTCCATCCGCCGCTCCAACACAAGAACATCAACCCCATATGGTAAGTATATGAGACGATACGTGCCTGCTACTCATTGATCCCTCAAGCTGTAGGTTCTCAGCTTTTCAGGTTATCGGTGCGTGGGCAAATACGGGTGAGTTGATTCTCAGTTTTACGCAGTCGGGGGAATCAGAGCCATAATGCGGTACAGGCATGTCCCTCGTGGATCAAAACATGCTTCCGTTCCAAACGGCGTACCCCATGGTGGTATTTCTGGTTATCTGTGTGCTTGCGGGAAACACATGTCTGGTATGTCGTCGCCACTCAGTTCCTCGCCGCTTACTCATCGAATCTGGTTACAGCCAATCTTGTGAGTCTCAACGTTTTTCAATTTGGTGCCTTATTGATCCAGTACACAAATCCAGACTTCGCCTCTTCATGTGCGTATCATGGCAGTTTCAGTTGAGGAATTGCGCCTGACATTTTCGCGTGGCTCGCAGTTGGCTCCTCACCAAATTGCCTGGACGGTCTCGTACCAAAGAGTCTCTCCACTTCTTGTTAGACCACCCACGAAGGTGTACGATCTACTTATTTCCCTCTCGGCAAACCTGGCTGCTTCTTGGCACCATGATGATTCTCAAGTACGTCGATTGACTTGGAGCCATTCCTCGTCGCAGACCCTGATACCGTTTCCAAAGCTGTTCAAATCTTTTCTTCTACTTAATACTCGACATTGGAAACCCGGCTACAGAATCTCTGCCGTTTGGAGTGAAGTTCGTCGACGCTGTCCTGGATGCCGCCGCTTGTAGGAACGCCGGTTACCAACCGATACCCATCTCCTCTCTGATGCCTGCCGTGCAGTGAGTACCCATGTGGCTGCTTGCCTAAGCACTGGAGTCATCATCGTGATTAAGGGTCCTGTCTGTCATCATGATGTACATAGCGATCTTTCCGATCGCGATGAGGTACGCTGCTGGTCGGCACAGTGCAGCAGTGGTACTCATCAGCTTCGGCAGTGTCCGTGCCACGAACGTATACGAGGAAAAGTCGCTCATGATCTACGAAAATGATGATCGGGAGGATGACGAGCTCAACGACGATGCGCACTGGAATACGCCTTCAGAGTCCCGAGTAGCGATCTGGGGCCGGTACCTATTGAGGCACGCCCGACGGCAGTTGTCTTTTGGTGCGTCCTAGCCGCATTCGTTGTCTCTCTGTATTTGACACAGGTTGCTATCGCTAGATATGTGGTGGCTAGCTGGCTCTCTCTTCCTGCTCTGTATCATTGAGGTCCGTAGAGCGTCAAGCGACATCGAACGTAGCCTGACCCACTCATGCTGGCAGCGCGCAAACCTCACAAATGCAAGCAAACAGTCATACTTCAACATATTCGCACTGCGTTCGTGGTCTCTTAGCAGTAGACGTTCGACGGCCAGCTGACATTATACAGTTTTCGAGCTCGTCTCTGCTTACGGGACCGTCGGCTTGTCACTAGGCATCCCTGGGGTATGTTTAACCTGTCGACTGAGAGAAAGACGGCAAGCGCTCATAAGGTCTTCAGGTCAACTACTCTCTCTCCGGTGGCATGCACACGCTATCGAAACTTGTCGTCTGCGCTGTGATGCTCAGAGGGCGACATCGCGGTCTTCCCGTCGCACTCGACCGGGCGGTCCTCATGCCCAGCGAATTCCTCGCCATCCGCTCGGAAACACAGCAGCCAGAAGAGCGAACAAGCGAGAAGGACGCACACCACGACGGTGAAGGCTCGCGATTACCTCAATCGCTGCATAACCCCGACGAGTTGGCAACACGGATGCGTCTGCGGACTCGTACGATTAGCCTCATCGTGGAGGAAAGAAGGGAGACATGGAACAATGCGAAGAGTCCTCCATGGATGCCCGTGGCAGACCGCGTTCCGGAGGAGAGCCGCGACTCCAGTGTTGATGGCGTAAGTGGAAGCGACCGTCATGCATGAGAATATGCATTGACATGCCACTGGGCTTTTACGACCAAAATGAGTTGTGCTCGTATCACACGTCTTCGTCTCGCCTATAAGGATGGTCTGGATCACATTTGTAGACTTAGATACATCGCTATGTAGTTACGCTTTCCCATGTCTTTCCTGTCAACTCGTCATACGTATATCTGTAGGGCCGTCAACACGAAGATGAATGGCTTGTCCCGCCTGACGTGCAACGCATGCTGTCATTGGCTCAAGTACTGAAGGTAAGTATGGTGTCCTT